TATTGATGGGATACTCATTAGTGATATTTCAGTACAATTTGTAAAACAGCTAACCCTAGTTCTTCTAGGGTCATGTCATCTGGTATGTTACATATTTATTTCCCTATATTATCCACAGGATATCATGAGCCAATGGCATTTTGATGTCCAGGAGAGTTCTGTTGTACTTTGTGAAGTCTGGAGGTTAGAACAAGGTTTTCAACTCTGCAGTACTGATACTTAGAGTTTGATGATTCACTGTTGAGTGAATGTATTGCACATTGTGGGATGTTTAGGACTCTACCCAGTACAAGGTAGTAGCAGCTTTCTCCCATCCACTGCAGTTATGAGAATCAAAAATATGCCCAGACATAGCCAGACTTCACTTGGAGCATCAGAATGGCCTTCTCCCATTGAAATCACTATACTGGACTGTGTTCCTCCAATCTAATCTGAAAACCTAATCCACTGTTAGGATTTTTTTTACCTTTCATAGGTATAGCTATGCATAAACTAACTATTCATATATGGCACCAAAATGGTATGATTTCAGAAATTAGATATGTGGATAAATTGGTACAAAAATCATAAGAAAATAATAGGACAAATGAAGAAGTATAATATAACCCTAAAACTAAAAGTGGAGGTTAGATTACCATTATGGAAATCAGTATGGAGAGTCTTTAAAAAACTAAAAATAGAAATTCCATTTGACTCAGCCAGCTACCTTCTAGGTATCTTCCCAAAAGAGTTAAAGACATCCTGTTACAGTGATATGTGCATACCCATTTTTATAGCACCACAACTCACCATAGCTAAATCCAGGAAGCAGCCCATATGTCTACCAATAGATGAACAGATAAAGAAAATGTGGCATTTACACACAATGGAGTACTACTTTACCATAAAGCAAGATACACTGGAGTCATTTGTCGGAAAATGGGTGCACCTTGAGACCAGACACACAAGCTTAAATATCACATGGATTCCTTTACATGAGAAACCCAAACTATTAATAAAGGACAAAATAAAAGATAGATAATAGAAAGCAGAGAGAAAGATCTTTTTGCAAAGGGAAGGGGACCAAGAGAGAGGAAAGGTGAGGAGAGAGAAAGGGGAAGAAAATAGAAGGAAGACGTGTCACAGACGTGCACCAACTCCCCATTAGGAATGCAGCCACTATGTACCATAAACGTATGATAAAAAATAAAAACCCTAAGAAAACCCTAGGGTAAAGCAGTTACCAGGTCACTGAACCTTTGATAGGATTACACGATTTAAGAAGGAATCTGTAAAGACTTTAGAACCTGGATGCTCATGAAAGATTTGTTTGGGAAAGCAACAAAATATAAACAGACTGTATGTTGACAATGGAGAGCAAGTAACTTATTGTATTCTGGTCTTACAGAATATTAGGCAGTGGTCAAAGTGGCATTTTTAAGACATTAATGGCATGGAGAAACACCTGCAATATAATGCTGTGAAACAGTGAGATGTTATACATGCAGTGTGGATATAAAGTTTTCAAAGGACATATGCACATAGGAAAGAAGATCATTAAAATATTAACAGTGGTTATGGGCCTGTGTGGAATGACTTATGGTTTTAATAGTCTTCATGGTTTTCTCTGCTTCTGGAATTTTCTTAATGAACTTTCATGCTTTGTAAGCTGGTGGCAGGGGAAAGAGGCATTCTGGAGAAAGTGACTCACGTTCAGTTAGGTGAGAGGGCATGGGTAAGGGCCCCTCACTTTTTATCAGAGTGTACCCATCGGGTAGGACACTTCAGAGAGCGTGCGTGATGGGACATGACAATATTTATGAGCTGAGTCCCTCGTCTTCTTGGGTAAAAAATATTATTTTTCATACAATAAGACTAGTTCAATGTTCCAGCCATATCTTTTTCTCCAAATCAGTGGTTCTCACTTTACAATGAAAAATCACTAATCACAGATTACTGGGCTCCAGCTTTCAGGATTCTGATTCTCCGAGTTGAGTATGGTCCTCATGAATCTCCATTTTTAATAAGCTCCACTAGGGGAGTCCTTCTTTCCTTTTTCTTTCTTTTCTTTTCTTTTTTAGAATTACACAGCTTTTTAAATCATCACAAAACAAAAGACAACATGACTTCTATCTTTCTGCTGTACAGAAATCTGTGGCAAAGGGACAGCTGTGTTGGCAAGTGAAGGGATCCTTCTTTCATAAGTGGTCCATGGGCCACATTTTGAGAAATACTGCTATGAAAAGCCATGTGGTTTGATTTGGACATTTTTTTCCTGCCTCTATTTTTTGATAGAAGCACTGAAAAGAATTATCATACACCTGTAATGTATGTTGGTAAACTGGATCTTTGCAGTTGCCAGTGTCTGTGTTGTAAAAGTCCCCACTGCGGTCCAGTTCACGTTACAGATTTTTTTGTTGTTGTTTTTTTCCAGTACCTGGAATCAAACTCATGACCTTGCACTTGCCAGGCAGGCCCTGTGCCACTGAGCTAAATTCCCAGCCCCTGTGTTACCAATGTTTTAACAACCAGTTCATCAAATTCTTGAAAGTTTAATAGCCCTTTGTTATAAACTGGCCCTAGCAGGTTCTAGTCCTATACATTATATATTTTATTTAAAACCTCTCAATACTGTGAAAATGGGATATGCTATGCAAAACTATTAATTATCCTTATGACAGCTAGGATGGAACAGGTAATCAATAGGACAGCTTCAATCATGTCGGAAACAAACTTCAAATGTATTAGTAGGAAAAAAAGATAATAATAGCTTTTATCACTATTTTCTATTTTATTCTAGTATTTTCCCATGGCTATACCATGCAGCATGATACACTTGCTGAGTTCTTTGAGAGCTGTGAATTGGTTTCCTAGGAATGACAGAGAGCCAAGAACAGAACTCCAGGCTTGGGAGCAAGGCCAAATGTTCAGCATCTACATCCACCTTCCACAGCCCCAGCCCCTGAACTGACAAAATGCCCTTGGTCATTCATTCTATAGCACCCAGCCATTAAATCAGCTCCTTCAACCTCTTTCTGGAGCACACGATTGAGACAGTGTTGTCTTTAGAAAACCCCTATAAGATGTGTTTTATGTGTTCATGTGTGGGGAATGGCTTCAGTGGAGGCTAATAGTATAGTTCTTTCAATATTTTGACCAGACGTATTTTAAGAAAATTGGACCTGAAGTCTATATAGTCAGCTGAGGTGAATTTACAGCCCTGCTTTTAAGAATAGAACTCCCTCAGGCACCTGCTTCCTCAAGGCAAAACCAGAAAGGAAATGAACTCTTGCTTAAAGACAACCCACCTTATTTTACGGCTTATCAATTTTCTACCTGGCACAGAGCTCCCCAGCTACTGTGAATTTTTTACCTCCATTTCAAGCAAGTTTGGAGCTGCAAAAAAAGGTCAAGTCTGCATTTTAGCAAAAGGCTCAGTTTCCGTGGGATGCAGAGCCTTACTAAGTGAAGTCAGGAGAGCAACAAAGATCCAAGGCTAGGATGGCAAACCTTTCAGAGCCTGAGTACCCAAACTACAAGCTAAAACCCACTTATTTATCACAAAGTGCCTACACTGCAATTAAACCTGAATACTGAGGTCTTATTTTAGGAAAAAACAACAGGTATCCAATGCCCATCTGCTGGGGCGATATTGCTCATGTGCTGACAGAGAGGGCTCTGTCCGCCCATCTGCAGCACGTGTGCAGTTGGTTCGCCTGCACTGATCTACAGTATAGGCTCACCACACAGATACCTTTGCCAGTAAGTGCATTAAAACCTGAGCCTGAATTCCATTTTACATTACAAGATTACTGAATCTTAGGGCATGGTGGAGAATATCTTTTCTGTCTTTGTGGTAGTTCTGTCAGGTGAATAGTCAACAATAATGTAAAACTCCTGATTTCCTTTTAACTGCTCTGGTGACCCTGGAATGGAGCTTATCAACCTCTCAAAAATGAGAAAGGACTAAGTAGCTTTTTTTCCTCACTATTGATAAAGTCAGCCTTCTCAACAAGAATACACTACAAGATGGGGGTCAAAGGTTAATAGTAGACGCTCTTAGACTATGTGCTAGAAAACACAATGAATAGATGTGATTTTCTTCATACACACACTACAGCAACAAAATAAATACAAGACCTGCCTCTTTAAAAATTATTAGAACTAATGTAACTTAATATGCAAGCAAAAAGTTGAATAAATCTGACTTCCTGTATGCTGAGGCCAGAGTTATGTACTTAAAATTTAATGCTGGTTTTGTCATCCCCTCAGTCTTGCTTCAAGCTTTATTTAGTTGGGAAAGCAAAGAATTTTGAGGAGAAATACGAATATTCAATTACATGTTTCAAAATCAGACATTTACACATCCATTTGGGAGAAGTGCCAGAGGTAATCTGAAGGTAGGAGAAGGACCTCTTGTCCAAATGAAACATTACGCTCCTCAAAGTGGGGAATTGAGGCCTGCAAACTGTCATTATTCCAGTAAACGAAGCCGGCCCTTTAACAGATGGGCGACATACTTCCAGCCTGCTGATGGCCTAATAAAAGACAGTGGCTTTTAAAAAAATGAAGGACACGTACTTCTCAAATTACACCACCGGAACGGATTTAGCAGAATAAAGTCAGGGAGGCACACAACAGCCTGTCAAAAATCAGGAACAGACTATGGGGAACTTGATAGTTCCAAACACCAATGTCAAAATGACCTTTGGATTAAAACATAAAAAGTTCACCAGTTAAACCACAGGGAAAACATGCAATGATAGAATCAAAACCGAGAGTAGCTTATTATGGAATCAGAGGTAGAGTTATACATACATAAAAACAGCAAGTTAATTTCTTCTCCAAAATATAATGAAGATTCCCCAGACAGGCAGGTAGTTTTGCAGAGCAGAAACCCTCCCTTTTGTAGCCCTCGGCCTCTGTTTCTCAAAACGACTCTCTCCAGGTGATTGTGGCAAAAACCAAGTGACACACAGACCAGAGACTCGCAGCAAAGAAGGCTCCACCCTTGCACTCACCGTTCTTGCGTCCCTTTCCATTTCTCCAGCTCCTCCTCTCGCGGGTTCCCTTGCTTCGGGCCACCTTTCTGCTCCGCCTCTCCTCTCTTCCCGTCTTTCTTTTTGCCGAATCTGCTGAATGAAGGAGAAGATGGTGAACCGTAGTCGCGCAGTTTTCGTAGTAAATCTAGGATAGGCGTGAGATGAACCTACTAAGCCATAATCCTTTATTCCAAGTCGTGTAAGATCAGTTGCATAAAATGGAGATAAAATAATGAAAGCAGAAAAGTAATACAGATACTGAATTTCTCTTTTCCTCTCCTTTCTTTGCTTTGTTCTTTTCAGGTATTTATTACATATTAGGCACAACATCATGAAATGAAAAGATTTAAACTGTTAATTCAGTAGACAGTGAAAAACTTAAAGGTTATTCTTAATATGTAACTGAAGACTGACAGATTTTCTTTTTTGTGTAGTTGTGTTAGTGTGTATTATTGATACAGATGAGTGGTTTTTGTTTTGGCATGCTTGTACCAGCATATAATGTATTTTGGTAAGGTCCCACTTTAACTTCCCTGTCTTTCTCTGGTCAGTTTTCACATTTATCCGTCCCTCTTCCCTCTCCCTTATTCCTTCTTCTTTTACATCATCTTTTTTTTTAAGGTCCTATATATGAGAGAAAACATGATACTTGTCTGAGTCTGGCTTATTTTGACTAACATGATGATCTTCAGTGACACCCATTTTCCTGCAAAGGACAAGATTTTGTTCTTTTTAAGGGCTGAATAGTACTCCATTGTGTATATCTACACAACACTGACCATTTATTGATTGGGTTATCTGTGAAAACTGACCAATTTTCTAAACAGGCCTGCAGAGCTCTAATACCATTGTCATTTAACATTAAATTAATGGGATGATATAATGACAGGGAGCCAACAAACACTCAGGTGGGGCTGAGCCTTGATCACGACTCCCTGCCAGTGTGAGTCAGGGACAGGGTTGCGATCAGACCTGATCACCTCAGGCACCACCGTGTTGCCTGCAGGACTCTTTCACCCTCTAACTTGGCCCCACTCCCCAAGTCAATGTGGTTAGTGTGCTTGGAGCATTCAGCAGGTCTATAGTTAAATGGGCACAGTAGCACTTATGATGCTTTGCAAGAACACCGTCTCTGCCAGCAGGTTAGGGAAAATGAAAACCACACATTTGAAATGAAGTGATTATTAGGACAAAGCCTTCTGTGACAAGTCTTTTTCCCAGAAGACATTTTCTCCAAATGCAATCTCCCCTGATCATGGTATCAATGCACATGAAGAAAGAGAATGATTTGATGTACTACTAATAGCTAGAGAGTAAAATGTTATGTATATTCTTCAGTTAAGACAAATATTTTAAAAAACCTATGGAAATTCTCTTTATTCTCCCTTTCTTATTAAATAGTAGCAAGTTTTAACTGTGTATAATTCTAGCACTACTTATTTGTCCATTCATCCATTTAGCTATCTATATAATTACCTATGTATCTATCTATGTGTCTGTCTACCTAAGTAACTTGCAGAGATTTTTCAAATTAGCCATTGTTGGGATAGCTCTACAACCCATAGGAAAGAAATTAGAATCTTTTCATCTGAAGACCTGATACGTAACTTTTGAAGAAAACTCTACACTCTAACCACCTAGAATAATGACTGACACAAAATAAACTCATATTTCTGCCTTCTTTGGAAGCCTACAAAAGCAGTTATACATGTATACCTTTCTGGCTTGTGTTTCAGCTGCAGCAGAGATTGTTAGTCAAGTGGTCACTCTGAGTACCACACCTGGAAGATGTCATTGTCATTGCTAACATTCATAATCCTGCTGTCATCACCATACAGACTGCATCCTGTTTTCCCCGGAAGCCTCTCCTAGTCTTGAATTCTCTGCCTATTCGTCAATGTACAGTTTCAATTAGTAAGTCCGCTCTCCTGAACTTTCTTTCTCCCCATCCACCTCTACTTCTCATGAAATTCTTTTGCTGTATTTGGTCTAGTTTTGGGACCTTGGTCAAAAAACTATCACTTAGCTCTTACTCGCCAGTTCATTTTCCCCTCCTCTTTGTTTCTTTTTGCCTCCTTTTCTGAATCTGTTCTTTTTCTCCCTCACTGAATAAGTGATACCATTCATAGAAGTAACTATGGTACAGAGAAAAATTCAGACAAAAATAAGAGAACGTTAGCTTCAAATGTAGTTCACATGTGCAGATATATTCAAGACCTCTCTTTAGCTTACAAAGCAGAAGGTACTCAAATAATGTTTCCACAAAATATATTCTTTAGTTTTCTCGACCCATGTTGAAGAGTCTTAGGAATCAACATTTTTATTCTAAATACATTTGTGGGAGAAGTTAATACCTTAGTACATCATTTAGATAAATTGCTGCTTCCAAAATTGCACTGGATTTAGTAACAATTGGGTATAAATTCAACATTGTGGGAGTCAGGGTACAAGTAATACCTCAGAGTGTTGACGAGGGGGAAATTGTTGCCAAAGCTACAGCTTCACTGTTTTTCTCCATGTCATACATATTTTTTTTCTGAATTTGGAAGTTTGCATTTCTGAGATGAAATTTAGCCTTGTTTTTGAAGAATAACCTAACCTATTCCCAGTCCACCTTGATCTTTATTGCCAGACCCCATACAGAAAATTTCCTTCTGGTACCTAAAACATTTCACTTGTCCTGCAGTTAAAGAATAGCATGCTATATGTCTACCATAGTGGGATATGGCTAATAAAGAAAAAGTTTATAGTACATTCCTCAAAGTGTTTTCTTCTTAAAAAGAACCATCAATAAGTAAACTAATTACATAAATACTATACATGTTTTTATTTAAAAGTTCATCATCTTTTCTTTAATTTCTTCATACATGGACAGAAATACCTATAAAATTTATTTTATTAAACACACAGAATGGTTATGAGTTACCTTTTTAAACAAAAATTGGACAGGTTTAAGAAGAGAATGATTGAACAGTAACCTCTAAAGAACCCCTACACTGTTAAGATGAGGAAGTGGAGGAACAGAGAAGGTAGTGGGTTTTATTTATGACCACACTGAATTCATTTTCCAGTTTTACAAAGAGAAAACTTAATCATCTCTGATGGTAGGGTGAGAGCACAGGTAGGGGCATCAAGAGGAAAGAATCAATTTGCTTACATTACAGCCTTTGTTCTCCTTTCCACAGCAGCCCTTTTGGGGCCATTTCACAGCTAATCTTACTTCCCTCCGAAACAGAAAGGAGACTTGGGGAGATTCTGTTCCCCATTAGCTCTTTTTGTGGGAAATCATGAACACCCTGACTGGCTACAATCACTGTCACAGATTCTGGGTATCGAATATCCTCTGCATTCCAGCCTACCATTATCTATTACCTTAGAAATCTGACAGTTGGCCTCAGTGGGCTAGGTGCCTTTAGAAAATTGCTTATAGGTCAACCTTGCTTTATAGAAAAGATATTCTCCCAAATAATTTTGTGCAAACATATGGGTTCAATCAATAAAATCTTACTTTATAGGTACTGGGAAGCCCGTTTAAAGAATCATATGATGGATCTTTTTATAAAGTAGAAAAATTACCTTTCAACATATTCTTTATGTAAATTTAAAGTTTCATAAATTATAAGTTTGCATGAAACACCGGACCCTGTTCATTTCTGTAGAGAATGCATGAAACTGGGAAACTTTTTCTTCTTCTTGCTTGATTTCTTTTCCTTCCTTCTTTCTCTTTTTCCCTCATTTTCTCCCTCTCTCCTTTCTTTCTTTTCCTTTCTTTCTTTCTTTCTTTCCTTTCTTTCTTTCTTTCTTTCTTTCTTTCTTTCTTTCTTTCTTTCTTTCTTTCCCTTTCTTTTCTTTTCTTTCATTAATTCTTTAAAAAACATTAATCTATTATTATTTGCCACTTACTATCATCACCACTTGATTTAGGTTGATATTATGTTGAGAAAAATACCACATGGTATCTTTGTGGGCTTTATAGTCTAACAGAGCATACAATAACCAACCAAGCATAAATGTCTAATTGCAAACTGTAAAAAATGGTAGAAGGGTGCTAGGAGAGACAATGACCAGGAGCTGATCACTGGGAAAGGCCCTGTGAAGAGACAGCACCTAAGCTGAGATCACAGGATGGGAGTTTCCAGACAGCAGAGGGGGAGCCATGCCTGTGGAAGGTGGGAGCAATCTCAGCAATTTAAGGCACAGAGAAGCTAGGTGAGGAAACTGATGAGTTTAAAGAGTTGGTAGTAGAGAAACAGAAGAGTAACCAAGTCCTATTTAGCAGAAGGATAAACTGTTATGAGAATTGTACAAATATCATCCTGGTCAGTACAGTGAAAAGCAGAAAATAAAAGGGCAAAATAAGTAACTGCAGTAAGGTGACTGGGCCTACTGCAGGAGAGTGGGTCAAAGTGATGGTGGCTTGGGCTAGAGAAGTAGCTGCTAAGAGAAAGCAGTGATTGGCCTTACTGAGTCACAGAGAAGCAGTAAGGTTCAGCCTGAAACATGTGATTGTAGTAGGCCTTTGGTAAACCCAAGGAGATAGTCCCCGGCCCAGGCCTAGTGCTGAGGAATTACAATATCTACAGGATGGAGAAAGGAGGGAGGTGAACCAAAAAGGTGAAGAACAGAAAGAAAGGAAGAAAGTCAGGAATCCAAGAAGAATACCGCAAGGAAAACGTGGTCAGCAGATGGGAAGACTGTTGGGAAGTCACACAGGGTGGAGACAACTTGGTACACAGAGACCCCACTGCCCGAGTGAGGTGTGACAGAAAGCGAGTGGATGTGGTCGCAAGAGAGGTGAGGCCTAATGGTACGTGAAATAAAGCAGACATGCAAGCTTAAATATCACACGAGAACCCCAAACTATAAATAAAGAGCAAAATAAAAGGTAATAGAAAATAGGGCGATAGATCTTTTGCAAATGGGAGGGGAACACACGAAAATGTTACTTACATATTCCAACTCCCCAGGAAGAATGTAATCATTATGTACTGCAAACATGCACTGATAAAAAAAGCTTTTAGAAGTATGTGCCTGTGCAACTATTTCAAGAAGTTAATCCTGGGCTTAAGGCTGAAGGTGGAGATAAATGCTGA